CATCAAATTGGTATCAGAGCTTGCAGTTCTTGAGGGATCTGTGAGAAATCTTAGAGAGGTGTGAGAGAGTGAAACACGAGTGACAAGTGAGGGAGAGAATCTTGCTCTTCTACAGCATTTCAGAATGTCTTGTTCTTCAACAAATTCATTTTCTTCTCCTCCAATGTTCAATGGAGAGAATTATGATTTTTGGGCTATTAGAATGAAAGCCTTCCTCAAAGGGAATGATGTCTGGGAAGTCATCGAGCATGGTTTCCAACTTCCTTTTCCACAAGAAAACCCAACAGTGGCACAAATGAAGAGAAACGCAGAGTATAATGCAGGTACATATAGAGCACTTTCTTTTCTGCATAATGCAGTGGCGAATGATATTTTCCCCAAAATTGCATCCTGCCAGAATGCACAAGAAGTCTGGGAAGCACTTAAAGAAGAGTATGAGGGGAGTGCTAGAGATAAAAGTGTGACACTGTTAGCTCTCAAACGAGAGTTCGAAATGTTGAAGATGAAGGAAACTGATACAATACGTCAGTATTCTTCAAAATTAGTTGACTTGGTCACTCAAATTCGAATGCAGGGAGAGAGATTTCCTGATTCACGAGTGGTCGATAAGATGTTGGTTAGTCTTCCTGAGAGATTTGAACCTAAAGTTGCTGCAATTGAAGAGTCTTGTGACTTGAGTAGGCTTTCCGTTAAAGCACTCACTGGAAAATTGCAAGCTCATGAAAAAAGACTTGCAATGAGATCTGATGAGAGTGTTGAAGGAGCATTTCAAGCTAAGCACAAGGGAAAATATTTAGTTGCAAGATCAGATTGGCAGCAGGAAGCTGGCAGCAGGAAGCTAACAAAGTGGAGAAAGGCAAACAGCAAGCTGAATGTTCTAGAAATTTTGACAAGAGAGACAAATTTCCTCCTTGTCCAAACTGCAGAAGGACAAATCACCTTGAAAAAGACTGTTGGCACAAAGGAAAGCCACTGTTTTATTGTAAGAATTGCAAGAAATATGGCCATACAGAAAAATTCTGCAAAGCTAATCAAGTGCAGTACAGGCTTAAGCAAGTGCAGCAGGCTAATTTCATAGAAGATCAGAATGAGGAAGATTATATGTTTGTGGCTATGCACAGTTGTTTTGTGACTTCAGAGGATTCATGGTATGTTGACAGTGGTTGTACAAATCATATGGTCAAAGATGTGAAGCTGTTTACAAAGCTGGACAGGTCTATTCGAACAAGAGTCAGACTTGGCAATGGTTATGTAGTGCAAGCAGAAGGCAAGGGTAATGTCTCAATTCAAACTAAGGAAGGTATTAAAACTATCACTGATGTTCTGTACATTCCTAGTTTGAGTCAAAACTTGCTAAGTGTTACACAATTAATGAAGCATGGATATTCTGTACATTTTAAACAAGATGTATGTCAGATTTTTGATTTGCATGGTTCTGAGGTTGCTAATGTGAAAATGGTGGATAATAGCTTCCCTCTAATGTGGAGTGATGTTAAGCAGCATGTTCTGATTTCTAAAGAAGATGAGACTACCTTGTGGCATAGGAGATATGGTCATTGCAATGTTAGAACTTTGAAGTTTTTGCAATCTTCTCAACTTGTAAGAGATTTGCCACAAATTTATGTCAATAATGATGTATGTAAGAGCTGTCAACTTGGAAAAATTCATAGAACAGCTTTTCCCACAACTAAGGCATGGAAAGCAAGTCAAAAACTTGAATTGGTGCATACGGATTTGTGTGGTCCTATGAATACACTTTCTCTCAATCAAAACAAATATTTTCTTTTGTTTATTGATGATTTGACTAGAATGAC